AATGTGAAAGTTTTAACCAGGGTTTATGGTAATTTTACTTAGACTAATTGACAGTGGCTTATTTTTTGAAAGACCATTGCAATGTGCAGACGTTATTTGGTCCAATCTCAGAGTATCAATTACTTTTGTCCAATATTTTTCAGCGAACAACTTAATTCTCATCATCATACTGGGGGTTGCTGTTGGACTTTTGTTCATCATGTTCATTGTGATCATTGTGTTAGCAATACGTATCAGAAAAGGTGAGTATATTTGGAATCTATCTTCATTCTTTCATTTTAACAGTCAAACTTAACAATTATCAATCCCTATATAATAGTTCCGCTCCCCGTACTTGCCATGGTTTGCTATGTCCCACAAGCTCAACAAATCTTAGCTAGAATATCACAGAATTACCAGTATTTAAAACTCTTGTAGCGACAAAATTTATTGCTTATAAATAGCAGATATCAGAGTTACGCTCTGCCTTCAAACAATTGTTTCAATTCGAGGCATTTGGGTCAATACAATGAAATGTATTGCTTACTATCAATCACGTGACTTTCTGAACCCTGACCCTGTTCAAGAGTAAAATCGCCGAAAATCATGCCTTGTTCCAGAGTAAATGTCGCAACAGAGTAAAAGTACAATGAAGGTATGATTTATCGCATACAAAAAACCTTAATTGTTCCAGTACTTGCGAAAAAAGATACCCTGTTCCAGAAAACAAGTGTGATACCCACTGTTCCAGAATAAGATCTACCCTGTTTAGCGAGGCATACCACTGAGTATAGCGAATATAGGGGAGTATCGCACCACTACCCCTCCCCTTCCCGGGTGTCTACCGCCATTTACTGAGGTCTACTGAATTAATTTACTGCTACATTGTGCAAATTTGTGCAATTTCTTACAACGTTTTTCACGGATATAAGGTGTGCACTCTACAGTTTCACAAAAATTGAGTTAATATCTTTGCTTGAGTCAAATTCAACAACGCAACACAAGGGAGGATAGTTCATTTCGCATTTAATTTAGTACTGTAACCGGCGGTTAAAGTACAAAAAAAAAAACTAGCTATAGAATAAAAGCTATGTATGCCTAAAATATACTGAAACAATAGGTAAAAAAACTGAAAAAACTTTTTCATATGTAAATTAATAGAAGCTGTGCGTGATAATATAATAAATGTATCCTAATAATGTTTTTAAATCTCTGTCCAAGCAATGCCATCTCAACTGTGGGGTACCACAGGTTCCTGTTTGGGTCCTCTACTATTTGTTATGTACACTACTTCTACGCTGTTCAAGGTTATTGAACGTCATCTCCCTAAGGCCCATTGTTATGCCGATGATACTCAGCTATACGTGAGTTTTAAGCCTGATGATGCTAACGCTCAGGATGAGGCCATTCGCGCAATGGAGGATTGTATTAAAGATATAAGGAACTGGCTGGTTAAAGGCAGACTCTTACTAAATGACGATAAAACTGAATTTCTAGTAATTGGAACTCGTCAACAATTAAATAAATTAAATCCGTCAGTACTTCATGTAGGTGATCACACGATTGATCCTATTTTTGACAATTCAATAATTAGTATGGATGCTAATATAAATCAAGTTTGTAAGGCTGCTTTCTATCATATTCACAATATTCGCAGGATTTCAAAATACCTTTCTCAGGATTGCCTTAAAACATTAGTCCATGCTTTCGTTACGTCCAGGGTTGTAATAGCTTGCTGTATGGCCTTCCTAAATATCAGATCACTAAACTACAACACGTACAAAACACTGCTGCCAGATTAATTACGAACACTAGAAAGTATGATCATATTACACCCGCTCTATATAACCTTCACTAGCTACCTGTTTTTTACCGCATCTATTTAAAAATTTTAATTATTACTTTTAAGGCTATATATAATATTTCGCCTAGCTGTATTAGTAACTTAGTGTCTATTAAGTCCTGTTCCGTTTATTCTCTCAGATCGAATAATTCATTGTTTTTAGACCGTCCCAAGGGGCGTATGCTTTCTACATTAGGGGCTCGTTCTTTTTATGCTGCTGCCCCCACATTGTGGAACAGCCTTCCTATGAATATTCGGGAAATAAGATCACTTGGCGTTTTTAAAAAACAGCTTAAAACATATATTTTTAATGTAGCTTACAATAGGTAATTTTTATCAATACCAACATAGTTTTCTATTATAGTTTATTTTCCTTATACATATTACATTTATATATACATATATATCTTTTCCTCGTTAGTTCCCCATACTTATATCTTATATTTATCATAAGTATTGTATATATATGTATATTCATATTTTATTAATTTATTCATGTAAAGCGCTTTTGATCATTTTAATGTTAAAAGGCGATATAGGAAGTTAATAAATTATTATTATTATTATTTATTATTATTAATTATTTTAAAGATATATTTTCGAGGGAATACGACGATCTGAATGGCCATGGGTTTGAACGTTAAGGGAGTTGAAGTGCGTTTGATGGAAATATATCAGGCTTGGGAGTCAAAAGCTAGTTAATAAATGACTGGAGCAAGATATTTCTCACGGCACTGTCCAAAAGTGCCCCCATTGTTCTAGCCACAGCGAGCCCAATTTATATAAAACTAAAAGGTGAAAATAAAATCGGGGGAAAATCGACTTTAATAGACCTCCTCGGCTCGAGCGTAATGCTGTCCCATTTCAGACCACGTGTCATTCCCTTGAGAATAATATTATTTGTTTGAGTTGTATCCATATTCATGTGTCTTCTCATGTGCAACCGAGCGCAAACCTTAATCAAAGAAATGATACTCTAGGGAATGACACGTGGTCTGAAATGGGAAAACATTACGTCACAGCCGAGGAGGTCTATTATTTGTCTTATTCGAGATCAAAAGATATTAAAGTGCGCTACAATTTTTTTTTTTTTTTTTTCGCGCTCTGTTTTTGACTTTACTACTCTCCCACTTAGGTATTTTGTCACATGTACACAACCCACAACCAGCCACCCCAGATGAGTCTGGGGGAACTCTAAGCTAAGCATTTTGAAGAAAGGAAGGCGGGTGTCATGGCAGAACTGGAGTGTTCAGGGAGAGGACGCTCCCCTTCGCTTTTTTTGGCTGGAGAAAGGGGAATGTAGAACTTCATACAATCCCCACCCCACCGACATGGATATTGACCGTTACCACAATTATGTTGCATTTAAGAATAAAATAGTGGAGAAATCAAGAAAGACCACAGCTTCTAAACAAAGGCACAGGGAACCCATACCAACATTCTCATATTTCAAATGTTGGTCTTCCTGTGGTATTCTATATATGGCTGTGTTCCCATTATCCCCCGTGGTCGTGCATTACGCAATTCTTTACCGAATTTCGTTGCAGTAACGTTGGCAGATTTGTGCAAAAGACTCTTAATTTTACCAACCTTTCCTTCACCGATAAACATGTCGTCCTTACTGAATGCAGGGAGAATCTTGCTCAAGAATACAAGTTTACACCAGGGTATACGGTTGTTTGGACCCCTTTCTCATCTGGTATGACACTTTTAACTCCCATGCTTCGGCTTGTGTTATAAGAATTTCATGATATTCAACCCGATTTTATCTGATCTAATGTTTGATTTTTTATAGAATGGACTCGTTGACTCCCTGATTGCAAAAGATTCGAAATTTTCAAGCCGTTTTTACAGGTAAGATTTTTTCTCTAGAAAAATTTTAAATTTTTGTGTGGACTTGACTGACATCGACTTTGCACGTGTTTATGCACCTTTGCACGTGGGTATTCGATCTTTTAAAATGACTCAAAAACGCATCAGACTTCAACCTGTGCTAATCAATTCAATTTAACTACGAAATTTAGCACTATTTATTTCAATTTTTTTTGTAATTATTATGTAATATGGACCAAAAGTTTAAATCGTAATTTATAAAAAGTGTTGCATAAGCTTTATCTTACTAACACCCCCTTCCCCAATTCTATATAGTAACTCGACAATATTTTTCAAGTATTTTACAAAAGTTCTGAATCATAGCATTGTGACCAAATATTCTTCTGATTTCCTTGATGAAAAAGGATTTCAATGAAATATGCTCAACAATTCAGCCAAAAAACTTAAAAATCATATTGGTCTTTACACTCAACAAAATTACTCGATTGTGATTGGACAAGAGGAGTACAATTAAATCCCAATAGACCCATTTGAATCGAGACGAACGATGAGCTTGCAATGATAGAGATATGTGTGAATAATTGTCCAAGGTGTTAAAAAAGGTCTCTATCATTGCAAGCTCACCTTTCGTCTCGCTTCAAGGCACGGCTACCTTTCAAGATGGCGCAGGGAACTGTGAAGGAGTCTATTAAGTTGCTCGATTTTGTTGAGTGTATTATGAACAAAAAGTAATACAATCTTCTCTTACAATTAAGAATTTATAAATACGTGTGATAAAGCCCTCTAATTAATTTCCAGTAAAGGCCCGTCAAATTTTGAAAAACTTTGAAAACATCACTCCTAATTATAATTCAAAATTGTACTGTATTCCAGATCATGCGATTTCCTGTACAAATTTTGTAAAATCGTACTGGAAAAGACATCAAAAGCTAATTTTTATGAATAACAAATTTTTTAAAAAACAAAAAAGAACAAAAATGACAGTCAGCAAAATGAGAGAAAAGCTATTGATCAATTTTACGTTATGTCATCAAAAAGCTACTATTTATCACTCAAAAGGGAATATTTTGTTTATATGATCAAAAGTCTTCACACAATATTTTATTTATCACCGATGCTTAGGTTTTTCATATACCACAATATAAATCACAATACAGCTGTGTTCCTTGATTACTCAGTGACGTAACCAGGGATCTTGCAGGGGGTGTGCACAGGCAATAATTTGCAGAACCAAAAAATAAATAAAAAACAGAACCAAAAAAAAAAAAGGGGGAATGATGCGTGGGTGGGTAGGTGGGTGACGAGACTTAAAAATGCTACAATATGCACATGTTACGGCCCTGACTCATTCCCTCAGGGTTAGCTTCATTTTACAGTAGCTTCAAAATATTCACAAATTCCAACCATGAAGTAAAGAATGCCAACTTCAATAATACAAACACTTTGATATTCCATGGATCTTCAATGGAACATGTGCATATTCTACACAAAATCAAAGCTTATCCCAAGCAACTAGAAACTTGAAACTGGAGTATTAATTTAAACTTGTGTGTTTTTTTAGTTCTGAAGGTGTTCGTGGTGCAGTATGTGGTATTGATCTTGGTACAACCAACTCTTGTGTTGCCGTCATGGAAGGCAAAACAGCAAAAGTATTAGAAAATTCGGAGGGAATGAGAACGACTCCCTCTGTTGTTGCTTTCACTCCTGAAGGAGAAYGTCTTGTCGGTGCTCCAGCTAAAAGACAGGCCATTACAAACCCACAGAACACCTTGTATGCTACTAAACGATATATTGGACGAAGATTTGATGCTCCTGAAATCAAGAAAGATCTGTAAGTTATGAAACATTAAAAATATATTAATACCCTGACACAACCTCTGGGCTGATCAAAACCAGGGTGTGGCTAACTTCAATATACAGTTGTAGATACCTTGAAACAACATCTGGGCTGATCAAAGTAAGGGTACAGCTAACTCACAGATCGAACCCAGAAACAACCCCTGGGCTGATCAAAGTCCTGGCACAGCTAACTCATGGATCGAACCCTAAAACAACCTCTGGGTTTATCAAAGTCAGGGTATAGCTAACTCATAAATGGAACCCTAAAACAACCTCTGGGCTGATCAAAGTCATGGCACAGCTAACCCACAGATCAAACCCTGAAACAACCTCTGGGCTGATCAAAGTCATGGCACAGCTA